TCCCAGCAGCTACACTGTGTTTAACACTCATTCTGCATTCACTGAGATAAATACAGTTTTTTAAAAAATTCTCATGGTCAAAATACAAAAATAAAATAATAGCTATAGGTGTTCATATACAAAGACTAAAAGCACGTATTGAAAGCCTCCATCTCTGATTGTCACATGGCATAGCAGAACAAAATGCAGATCTGGTCCCCTATCACTCTGAGCACTGCCTTGTAGGTGATAAGGCCTAAAGCCTCTAAAGCTTTCACAGGTTTCATTCTTATCAAAACTTTTAATCTTAGAAGACTTCTGAAAGAACCAAGTGCCCAAATGTCTTGGGCAATCTGGACAACAGACTCCAGAGCTGATATTTAAATGTCTTGGGTGAAGAGAAGGCCTTAAGCATTGCAAACCTATCAGATTTTATTTCAAAGGTTGGTAGGAGACAGGGTGATCATCTATCATGCCATTTAAATATACCTACAAACTTAAAAAGTATTGAAATGAATAATCAAGGTGATTATAAATTTTGTACTACCCACAATATGAATATACTTTGTTTTTTCAAGTATAAAATAAATGCATATTTCATTGTAAAACACGGACTGTTGGTGGCAGTAAGAGCTGGGTTTATGCATTATTCACTGATGAAAAAAATGCAGTAATTCTAAGGTTGCAAGACAGTATTCAGGCCTGTAGCAAAAATGCTAAGTCATGCCTTGAAGCAGTGATTGAGCACCTAGTGGGAAGGCAGGGCCAACACAAGGGAGCTCAGGTGTATGCAATGCACCCGAGTGATCGGAAGGGGTGGAGACAGGATCCACCCCATCCCAGACTTCATTTAAGGGTTGGTAGGGGAGGTGAGGGTACCGCTGGAGATCCCTGCCTACCTGAGGTCAAGAAGATTCTTTCCTCCGTTTGTGTCCACAGCCACTGCATTTGAGCATATCCTCACTTGCTGCAGCCTAGGACTTTGCTACTGTGCTGTAGTTGCTGTGCTTCCCATCGCATTACAGTGTTACAGGGTCCTTTTTCAACACTATGTCTGAGGTTGACTGAAGGTGCATGAAGGCCAAAGCTGCTCTGTCACCTGCTTTTGCTGGCACTGGGACGCTGAACTACCTGTATGCAGTCCAAGTACTTTTAGAGTTACACAGTGAGGTCAACAGGAGCACGGCACAGCTATGACTGAGATGAGCAGCAGTTCTCTAAGCTCCTCAGTCTGTCCACAACAGAGGAAGGAGCGGCATAAGCGTTTGGAGAGATTTGAGCATTCCCAGCTTCAGCACTCAAGCTGGAGATGCAGTATCACTAGCAACAAAGAGCAATGCAGGTCTGCCTGCCTACAATTTTCTGGTATTCAGACTGTCAGCAAGAAAAAGGGGAGCAGTGTGGTCTGCAGATTTATTTGTAAGCAAGTGAAATAACAGAATTAGGAGGCAGCAACTGCTTTAGCATAAGGATACATCAGTGTGACTGAAAACATAGGAATGCATCTCTTTCTAAGTGCACTGAAGAGGCAGACTGCAAGTAATACTGGGCGTACTGGTACATTATGGAAAGAGACAACAGCTCTTAGTGGACTTCTGTACTATTTTGTGTTAATTCCATATTTCTGACATCACATAAGCATGGTTTTTGCTGAGTCCCAAATCTCTCAAGACAGATAAAAGATACCTGTAGGAAACCAAATCTCTGCACCAAGGCTTCTTCACCATATTAGTGAACATAAGGACTTATTATCTGGCAATAGTAAATAGATGGTTTCACGTCATGAAGAGGTATGTCAAATCACTTCAGAAAGATCTGTATTGTGACCTATGCTATTCAATCTACAGTTACAAATAATCTAAAAAGGAGCAATTATGGTGCTAAAATTTGTTTTGTATATTTGATTATACAAAAAGATACTGTCATGAGTTGCACAATTTTACAACAGTTAATTAATTATGAGGCAATAAAAAGACAACTAAAATCTGATGCAGATAAACACATAAAAATAATAACTATGAGAAAAGTGAAGTGTTGGTTCTGAATAAGCAGTCATCAATCAGAAAGACAAACTTGGTGTTTGCAGAAAGTTCTCTGCCAGCATCAGCTACACTCAGAAGTTCTCAAGAAGTCAAACAGGATGTTAGAAATTAATAAGAAAGGAACAGAGAAACATGAACTACAAGTGATAAACTGTTACACTCACTTTGTAAAGTACTCTGAATGCATTTCCCAGTTGTGATGCCTGAAAGTCTATGATATATGGAGTGCATTTTAACAACTTATGCAGCTAGGAGTCACATTTAAACAGAATCTGACCAATCTCCAGCCAATGCCATTGTCTGCTACATACCCCTTTGAACACAGAAATAAAGAACAAACCAGAAATCATTCATCTTACTTTGCCCTACATAGCGCAATCAGGTGAACATAAAAACTTATCTCTGTTTGAGCACTTATTTCAATTTTGTTTTCCCACAGGGCACATAGGTGCCACTGAAGTAGATGAGAGATGTCGGGGGAATGAAAAACTCTGGAACACAGTTCCATTAGTCATGGTTTAATCTCAACTTATATGGAAAAATGCACTAATACAAGCAGTCAATCATCAGAAAATTTAAGGGAATTGTGGGGAGGAAATAGAAAAGAGTTGATGCTGATGTGGCACACAAACCTTCCCAGGGGACACACCAAACTTTGACGTAAATCTAAAATAAGCATGTTAACTTTACAGAAGGTAGGAAACAGAAGCAAGTTCTTAATTTTAAACACTGTGGATCCGGCACTTGCCAGATATATAATTTGCCAACTTGATTGTACAGCACGCTTCAAGGATCAAGAGATTTGAAATTGAGTAAAACATTCACTTCTTAGAAATACAGACCATCAAAATATGTGTAGAAACACCTTAAAATGACATTGAGAACTGATTTGACATGTATGAGTTTCTGTAATTAATACATTAACTTGTCATTAAACATGAGTTTGTTTTTTTTTTTTTTCTTTCAAATTAGACTTCCATTAATACTTGGAAATTAATATCACTAATAAAATAGAAATTAATTTTGACCAGTCATGATTCGTAGATCACTCCGAAAGTAAAGCTTCCTATTTATTTCTGTGGGAGCTACAACAGCTACAAAGAGAACAATAACACTATTTGATAGAGCAAATTCTCAGCTACATGACACTATTTTTCAGCAGTTGCCACCATTAACTATGCTCTCATGCCAGCAATGAACAAGAGCATGCATGCTGTGCTCAGAAAACTGCAGCAGTGGAGGTGACCTACTGTTGCTGGAGCCACTTCTGAAACGCACCACCCATTGCCTCACTATGCTGACATACACTGATTGGTCTCCATAAACACTCAGCAAACATTGATGAATGTCAGTGGGTGCTCCCCTGCTGCCATCTGTCATGCAACAACAAAATGTAATAGAATACTGGCAGGAAGGTTCAATCTCTACTGCTGTACCACCTATATCCACCTCTAACATTGTAGGCCAAAATAATAAAATAGGAGGCATTACTTTCAGAGAAAGAACTGTGTTTCAGCAAAGGAGCTGCAGATAGAGACAAATCATATTTTCCAATCTTTTGCACTACCAAGTTTCCAAACAGACTACTGACTATTGAAAACAGACTCCAAAAAAGGGTGTTTATTGCCACTGAAATGTTGGTTAAAGCACAGATTTGTTAAAATGATTTTAACTTATCAGCTTTATTGAAAGAAACAATTATTAAAGAATTATTTTTGAATTGGTGTGATAAGGAAGCAGTAAACGTTCTTTGCAATAAAATTCTAAACCTCGTTTGAAGAATGAAGTAGCATCCTGTTAAAACTTTAAAGCAATCCAATATCATAAAGCCAGCACTACAATGGTTAAATGCTAAAAAAAATAGAGGTATAAAAATACCCCTGTCAAGAAGAGTGGGCTAGTATATCACATACTTAAATAATGAAAGTAAGTAGCTTGTCATGTTCTAAAACCACTTCAGCTCTGCGACATGAAAACATGTCCATAGATCTGTCACCGTTTGCACTGGCACTACTTAAATCTATTACTCAATTACAATTGGTAAAGCATGCAAATAGACAAAGCAAAGTGTACTATGCTTATGTCAACGTAAAGCTTTCGCTACTTAGGAGTATGATTTTCATCACTTCTTCCTAATAATTAAGGCAAATAACAGCAAAACTTCTAAAGAACTCTACATCTTAAGCCTCATCTGGAGCAACAATTTTTATACCAGTTCTCTCTAACTTAAATAGACTCTAAGATGTTCATAGAATAGGAAAAAAATAAACTCAAATTTATGCCTTCTCTGGAGAACTGACCTTTCAGATTTCAGTGCAATTCGTCTTCTCAATACAAAGGTGTAAATAAAACCCAGCATTTTTTAGCCACTTGTCATTTTGTGCTAGTGAAAACAGTAATAAAGCAGCAAACTATGTAAGCATAAAAAAAGAAGTAATGTATCAAGATTTACAAATATAATCCAAGTGAAACCGAGAAGTTACAGAATCTAGTGCACCTCATGCTTCTTTTCTGCTTTTGTGAGCACATCTTTCATAGCAGTTTAAGAACCATGAAGCACAAAATCTGTCTCCTCATAATGAAGTACAATATTTATAGATTTAAACAGAAATCTATTCCAGAATCTTTGCATTGACGATCTTCATTTTGTGAAAGTAATAAAGAGACTTGTCTTCATTTGCTTCTTTCACACCCACAGCTCTGCAAACACCATATTGCTTTCGCTTGCATTAACAAGCCTCTGTGTTGCCATTCTGCCCTTCTGCATTTCAACCAAAAGTAACAACACAAACTTTTCCAAACATTTCTGTGTTATTTCTGCACTAGAGGTCATGGGACACCTCCCTCTCCCCAGTAAATCTTTCAAATTACTTTCTTTAAGATGTGTTTTCACTAGCTATCTCTGACAAGTGAGAGAACGCCCCTAAGCTATGAATTTTGCTTAAGGTTATGAAAATGCCACATTTCTTCTGGCCTCAGAGCAGAACTTTGCAGAACTCCAAGATAAATGCAGCAAGATTCCAGATCAGGTACGACAAGGAAGCATTTGCTGACCATCTACTGGGGGAACCTTGGAGAAGAGCTTGCTCAGGGAAAGCATACACTACGAATTTGCAGCATCTATGCTAGTTGGAAGGAACCACTCATTCCTGGAGAACAAGGCAGGATCAGCCTCCAGAGAACTGCTGCACTGTAATCAGGTGAGAACCAGCAAAGGTAAGAGCACAAAGACAGTGAACTTCAAATCCAGCAACCTGTACATACAGTGACAGAAGAGAGAGGTGTTTATTTTGTCACTTTCACTGACTGTTGATGCTCTATTTACGTTCTTTTTTTCCTCCACTCAACACCTGCGGAGATTTTCCTGGAAAAGTACCAACTGCAGAAACACAACTTGTCAATGAAATCCCTGACCAAACCTCACCACAAGCATTAATTATACTAATTAGAACTGCTGCCAGTGGAGAATAAACATCACATGCAACTTATCTCAAAGCATCAGGTGAGCTCCTCATTCAGTTTCATCGGAATGGGCAATTACATGTGACTTTTTCCATCTATACTCCCAGCCATTCACTCCAGTATTGCTCAGAACACACACATCAAATAAAAGATTTGGTCACGGCTCTCTTGAGAAAGTTTGAGCACTTAAATGCACAGCAGATGGAATCACACTTACTACCAAGTGTAATTTTCCATGCTTTACTACTTTAACTTAGATTATGTGTATTCATCGTGATTTCAAAGCAAGAAAGACCTGCTGAAGTCAACTGAGGCCTATATATTGGTTCTGTTCATCTTGCAGGTAAGTCCTAAGTTGATGTTCATCCCAATTCTTTTCTTCGTAGAATGTCTTTTACTTCATATTTACTAATAACTTCAATTAAATTGGTGCCAAGACAACAGTAATAATTTTCTAGCAAACAGCAGCTGAAGCGAAGTATTTGCTGGGACAGCAGTGATGGTTACAGTTATGGTTCTTTGCTTGTGGCAGTACTTCTCCACCAAGCGAGGAGTTCTTTGTGTATACAGTGAAGCTTTACAGTGGGAGTAGCTATCTGTGACAGTAATGCCTACTAATATTTTTAGTGCCAACTCGAAACATTTGCAGACTGGTACGAATATTATGAGGTACTGATGCAAATATTTGTAAAACTGCTCTGAGGTCACAATTTATTTCAGGTATGAAGAATTCCCATCAGAATCCTGTACCAAAGGAGAAGGTAAACAAAGACGTGCAAAGAAAGGAACAACTTGGAGACATCACATGACATGAAACCTACATTTCTGTGCAAGAATTTTATGTTTCATTTCTTAAATGTGTGTCTTTTACTTTATTTAAGTGTTTTAAAAATAATAATAGTTATTTAATAATAAGAAGTGATTTTCATACTTAGAGATAGAGCCATAAAGTCACTTTCCATCTTTAAATCCATACTTACATGTGCACACATGGACACACACATCATAGCAATTTCTCTAATAAGCAGCCTGAACTTTCAGCTGAACCAACATTCCAGTCACGATGTCACTGAAATAGCAGTGTTGGACTAACCACATGTGGTATCAGAAATTAAAATTGACTTTGGAAATCTGGCAAGATCCTTCCAAGAGCTGACAGAATTGCATGTTATTATCAGTCATCTAGTCTGAATTCCAGGAATCTTGGGGAATTTACCCTATGCAAGATAGACTGAATTCTTTTTGAGTTTTTTACAAACCCACGGTGTTTTTAAACTTTAAAGCTGCATCTGTGTTTTGCTTTGTACATCCTCTTTATTCTTATATGTCTGCTAGCTCTCTATGTGCCCCCAAAATTTCAAAATACCATTGCATAACCTTCAATAACCATTTTGGTTGAGAAAAATAGCAGTTAAGTGATCAGATAAAAATGTAGTATCAAGTAAGTAATAACAAAAGTTATATAAACCCTGTGTTTTTGAGGTATGTTTTGCTTCAAGATGATTTTGTTTGATACAGAACTATAAAAAACACCTCACCAACCCCCACACCTGTCTGTTTTTCTGTATCAGCTTTTCTGTGATCCTGCTGTGACTCCATGGACAGAAGTCTCATCCTCAGCTTAATGACATGGAAAACTAAAAAGATATCCCCAAACACTGCTTTTCAAAAAGACTGCCTTATCAAGTGAAATAAATTATAAATATTCCCTAAACTATTAGAATTTATTTGGAATGATATCTCCACTCTTGCATTTGGCATACAGTCCACTTGCTCCTTCCATCTCCAAACAACAATGTTAGTTAGAATTAATAAGTACTGGTTATGATCCAGCCTATTAACGTAGCAAGATCGATCCATGGGGTGTTTTATAGCTTGTTAAAATTTTATTAGCTAAAGCAGATCATCAGTAAAAACTGTTTAATTGGCTAATTGCTACAGCTGTTTCTGTCAGTGATGCTTGTGATTCTTTCCATGTATACAATAATGTCTACTGAAAAGCCTGACATTCATCTTTACAGGAGACTCTTACTTCAGTTTGACATTACATGAAAACACAGATGTTCCTCCTCTCTTAACACCTCTTATGAAAAACACCAGATCAGGTTAAAGCTTCACACAGAACAGTCTTTTTCTAAAAACTTAGAAAACTAAAAAAATTCAGAGTCTTTCACTGTCTTGATTTGAAATGCAGTGACCTTGGTTTGATAAGCAGCACTTTGCTGGGCTAAGTAGGGATTACTACGGCGTCTCATAGTCTTTGTTCAAGTTGTATAGCAGCTGCTTCACAATCTCAACCCAGCTAAGCAAGTATTTGCACTGGAAAACATTTAGCAAGCAGTATTTGGCCAGCTGGAGTTAGAAGAATGATGATATTTCACAATTATTATTAGCAGCACGTAGTTTTATTTGAATTCTATTTCAAGAGATAAAATTAGGTTTAATGTGAGGAAAGTTTTCATTTTCTCCATAAGCAACTTGCTCTATCTGCTTGTAACATGAAGATTCTGTTTAAAAACATCAAGACTATATTTTTGCTCACTGAGTAGCTCATAACTGCTATATAGGAACAGTAGAATTCCATGCTGTTCTGCAGATATCTGTGTAAGGTTTATAAATTATTCTTATAAAATTTCTTTTACACTATTCTAACAGATTATCTAGGGTAAATTTTAAAACAATTTACCACTTAATTAATAGGCACTCCTGACACTGAAAATCTAAAGCCCATCCAGTATATGAAATATTGCCTTTTACTTTGCCTCCTAGTACTTGACAAAATGCACAAATACTCAGCTCTGAAATCCAGCAAAACTTTCTTTGCTTGTTGAACAACAACAGCAGTAGTTATGCAACAGAGAGCATCACCCCAGCAGATTGTTAAATCTGCTTGCTAATTATACCTTAAGTGTTGATCAATGCTGGAACTGAATTAATGCATTACAAATACATGACATGTGTCTTAAGCTACAAATAAGTGTACCGTCTTCTGAATAATGAAGTGAAAATTAGATTTAACCACAGTTGAACTGGGTAATTATATATTAAAATAATAGCTTATGCTACTAAAGCCTGAGTGCTTGTAAAGCTTGTATGAGCTTATCAAGTCATAAAAAAATAGAGTAACTGCAATTTATATTACTCTTTTAGAATCTTGCACATACTATTGTAGCTCAACTCTCCTAATGTGTAAGTATCTGATTTTTAACTGTGATCCAATATTTCCTACCCTTGAAAAGGTCATCTTTAAGTGTATTCATATAGCAGGCCAAGAAAAGAGAAGAAAAAAAATGTAAGAATTTGCATTGCAATTAGCATTACGAATATAATTCACAGATTAAAAAAAAGTAAGAAAATACTCCAGACCCACTTCTACCCTCACTTGTTTTGGGGTTGTTCCCCTGCATTATGAAGATCCTTTCAAATGCTAATTATTCATAAGGTATTGTACTGGGAAGAGAATACTGTCTACACTTCTGACTTCGTAAGATTTCGAGAGAATCCACATTTCTGAATCTCTGCTTGAGATAAACAGAAACTCTCGAGGTTCCTATGAACTCTGATGGTGGCTGGATCTAATTCATACCATGCATGGTACCAATGGCACATAGTACTCTGACAGCTTTTGGGATAACCTGGCCAATCAACCTCATCTGTTCTTTTCAAGCAAAATAACTCAGAAAAGTTATTGCATGAGACAATTTAAACCAGTAATCAAATATTAAGACAAAACATATCCTGATATGCGTAATTAAAAAAAAAGACAACTTACAAATTTTTACCATAGGTCTTTTTTCTGAGACAGAAGCAAGAGGATGTGAATGTTATGCACCACACTATGGATAATCTCAGAGCAAAAGCATGCAGCCACTGACAGCATTGGTTATATATCACCTGCCCTTTTTGGGGCAAAAACCCTGAATGCTTTGCTATTTCCAACATCTCCTACCAGGGAATGGAAACTAAAAACAAGGACCCTAACAGATGGCATCTGGAGACAGAACAGCCAGCCTTATGGTATGTGTCAGAATCATGATTTTTATCAAGCTTTGACTTTTAAGATAAAATTCTTAAGAGCAGAGAAAATTTTCTTCTTAAGTAGCAGTCAACAAGTTTCAGGAAAGAGCATACTGAATCTTTTCTAATACCATCTGTTAATACCAGATGAACATGCAAGTACTGTGTTTATGCTGGCAATCATTAGTATGTTTGTTCAGTTGTATCTTGATAAACACCACAAATTGGTTAGCAGACAGAAAATCTGCAGAGTAAGGAAGGAGTTGGTCTAGCTAGGCTGATTAAGAAAACCCATAATAGAGGCAATTTTTTGTACCATTGCCTTTTTTTACTGTTTAAGGCAAAGAAATAGAAGACCAAACATGATTGGAAACTGGAGAAAAAAATCCCAAGCCAGGGTGTAGAAAAAATGCAAAACACATAAACATCTTCTTGTGATTCACTGGAAGACATGTCTCCTCTAGAACAACATGCAACTGTTTCATATCAAAGACAGTTGCTCATTTGATCTTTCACCATGAATTCTATCAGTTATAAGGTAACATAGAGCATCCCCTCCTGATGACCAACTGGAACTTGTAACAGCATCTGTCTCAAATTTAATGAATACAACACACTTGGCTAGTACAAAAAACTAACACTTCAGCGCAGTTCAATATGGCTAATAGCAGAGAAAGAATCCATGCTTTTTGGAATAATTTTGTAGCTATTAAATCTTGATATAAGGAAGTTACATTCATTATTTTTGTTAGATAAGGTTAGCGTAAATGGCTTTAAAGTTTATTACTACTATGGCTTTTATTGCAAACACTCAGTCCTTTACAGCTCCAGCTACCTCCATTTGTGAAAAATTAGGTATGATATTTGGGTGCCAAGTATTAACTAATTATAAAAGATTGTAGTGTGAGAAAAATCACTGTCATCCCTAACCATCAATATAAAATGGCTAATTTCACCATGCTATGTACCTCCAAATTACCCAGAATTTTATTACATGTCCTCAGGATAGAACGAACGCAATTCATTTAATCATCCTGATTTAAAGGAAAGATGAACTTTCATGATCTGATTATAAAACCAACAGACCTCATGAGAATCAACAAGTTTGACTCAGTATTTTCAATCTGTGGCACTGCAACATTTCATTAGAATGCAAAACCACATGCTTGCATCCTTTCACTTAGCCAAAAGGAAACAGTCAAGCTGGCATTTTTCAGTTCATCATTCCAAGACGCTTAGTACAGCGGGTAAGAAATGAAATTACATTATACCAGTCATTATCCATACCCAAAATGTTTTTATTTCTCATATCCCAGCATTACTGAAATCCCTTTCAGCCTTAGAAAGCCTTGAAGTCCTACACAGTTCTCTTCAGTACCATCACCATTAGATGATCACAGTGCAACTGTCCTGCCATCAGCTTTGCAATGTAAATGTGTGCACTGGAACATCACAGTCTTCACATCTAAATAAACATTGAAGAGATTGGAGTTTTTTGTTGCCTTTTTGAACCAAGGGAGGGATGGGGAACCCAACAACCTAACTTCATGCTCAGATGTCAAGTTCTTAGGTGATACATGAATTCCACAAATTAAAGGAATTTGGGTTGGTTACAATTCCCTGTACAAGCATATAATTAATAAAATGGGAATAAACCTTGCTATACAATTTGTGCCAGCACTTGCTCTAATTTCCCAGACAGCCACAGCCTCATTACCTCCAGATTTGTGCATCTCATTATGATGCTGACACTCACACTTGTGTGATTAGCACTGAAATTACAGATTCATCCTGATCTAGTGTGGCCTTCATTGCTGTTAATTAGGCAGCGAAATGTGGAAACTGTTACGGCATTTTAATTACCTGAATGATGCAATGAGATTTGTACGCTTAAAAAAAAGTAATAAATCTTTTCCTAGAAACAGTTTCTGGTTCTGATGAAAACAGCTGATTGAGAGAAATTTTGTATCTTGTTCTGCTGCTAGTTGAGAAGATCCATCCTGTCTGTATCTGCTACGTATAGCTTTGTTTGAGAAATGACAGATCAAAAATCTCCTTTTGATAAAGGGCAGTGAAATATGCAGAAAGAAAACCATGAATATAAAAAAGACAAATGAATTAGTTAATGTAAGTAAAATTTTTTATATTATTTTGGCCAAGATCCGTCAAAAAAATCTGGGGGAACAGCCACCAGTAAGAACAACAAATGTACAGTAGCATAACCTCAAGGGAGGGCAGCATCAAAGCCTCAAGAGAAAAAGCAGTGTTGTATTTGGTTGTTGTATTTGGTTTGAAGTAATTTTGTACATGTTGTGCTGTGAGCATATGAGCCACCTGATCTTGTGTACTGACACCGTAGCTGCCTCGTGCCACCTTGCTGGAGGAAGGCTGGCAGGAGAAGGCTGCCCTTATGATGAAGGACTGAGCTAACGAGTTGTACCCCAGCAACAGCATACTTCAGGCACATGGCTCACATGTAGGTGCTTACATGTAAACACACAAATGTGTGGTTTTGAATATTGAGCTGCACCATGTCTCTTACATTTGTATTTCCATATGTACTTTAATTATGGCAGGCATCCTATTTACAAGCACGGATAAGAACACAGAGCCTCACAAGCCTCCAGACAGCTGCTGACAATACAAGTGTGGAATTTGCAGAATAGCACTGTACTTCTGACACACTTCTTGTTACAGACTCAGATTTGCAGAACATTATTCTCACTATGCCCATTTAATCACATTTGATAGGCTGCTGCCCATTTAAATCATTCTTCAACAGCAAATCCTACGTAAACGCTATTTTATTTGACCATAAATAACATTTTCATTTTGGCAATAATAACTAAGATCTCTTAAGCCTATCCACCCCTGCCATCGTTTTCTGGATAGAACTTTGTGGCTTTTTTCTATTACTAGCTCCAAAAAGCCCCACAGTATTATGCTTGTTTACAAAAAGAAAACTGAACTAGTGCCATAGTTCTTTAGCAGACAAGAGATTTCGAACAAATGGGAAAGCATCAAGAAATTTGAAAGGGAAAGTTCTCAAAGAAATGTTCAAGTTAATAAATTTTATACATTTATATCCATAAAGCAAAAGCATTAATCCTAGTTCATAACATTTAGATATAAATGTCATATTGCTGCTCTGAAAATTTTTCTGATCTCTATGCATTTACAACCTTAATTTATGGAACTTCATATATTTTTTGTTAATATTTTTGTAATATTCTCAAAACTCTTTCGGAACATTATTCAGTATGTATCTAGTGAAACCACATTCGAAACAGTGTGGTGAAATAATGAAGTAGTTGCATTATTACAGAATCATAGACTCGTAGGTGCTGGAAGGGGCCTCTGCAGATCACCTAGTCCAACACCCTGCAGGTTTCCTACAGCAGGTTGCACAGGAGAGCATCCAGGCTGGTTCTGAATATCTCCAGAGAATCTCACACAATCTGCACAATCTCTCTGGGCAGCCTGCTCCAGTGCTCCTTCACCCTCACAGTAAAGAAGTTCTTTACTGTGCTCATATGGAATTTCCTATGTTCCAGTTTGTGCCCATTGTCTCTTGTCCTATCTCTGGGTACCAAGTGAAAAGAGCCAAACCCTGCTCTTCTGACATCTGAATCCCATTTGATTCCTACCCTTTACGTATTTATAAAAATTGATAAGATCCCCTCTCAGTCTTCTCTTTTCCAGGCTGAACAGTCCCAGGTCTCTCAGCCTTTCCTCATAAGGGAGATGCTCCAGGCCCCAGACATCTTTGTCACACTCCCCTGGACTCTCTCCAGTAGTTTCCTGTCTTTCCTGAACTGAGGAGACCTGAACTGGACACAGCACTCCAGATGAGGCCTTGCCAAGGGAGAGTAGAGGGGGAGGATCACCTCCCTTGACCTGCTGGCCATGCTTTATTTAATTCACTCCACAACACCACTGGCCTTCTTGGCCACAAGGGCAACTGCTGGCTCATCCACTGCCTCATCTTGCTGGCCAGTCTTTCCTAAAAATTACATAGCTATCTGTGACAGCATTCTAGCCATGCGAGCTGTCCCATCATGCTCCCATGACTGCAAGAAGATCATGATACTGTGACCACATACAGATCTCTAGTTCTTCTGTTTATTCCCCACGCTGCACACACTAGCATACAGGCACTTCAGAGAAGAAAAGGAAGTAGAGGAATTGCTGTTATAGATTTACTAACTTCTAACCCGTAAAACTCCAGCATGCCTTTAACCACGTATGTAGTTCAGAAAGCATGGAAAACTGTTTCAGATAAATTTCATCCATGATTTCTTTCATGCACGTATGACGGACATTTTTCCAGCAAAGAAATCAGCTGTCTTCCCTGAATGTTGATTAGGTTACTAGTGAGATTACTAATTTCTTAAATATTTGTTTTAAAATTCTCATTAAAAAACTACTATTTTTCTCCCATTGTGATTCTGTAGTCATAACACATCACCTTTCCCTTCCATTGCCACGTGCCCACTCAGACATTCTGCTATAAAGCAGAAGAACACCGCTGTATTCAGACCTAAATTCTGCTTTACTGGGGGTAAAATATGAATATCTGAAAGGATTATCTGATTCCTCTCCTTCTGGCTCCCCTGTACTTTTGATATCACAGTCACGTCCCTGAAAATAATTTTGGCAAGGGCACCACAAAGATGATATTATTGAATTGAGTATCTGCCTGAGGAAGTAAATATGGAAAGAAAAAAAAAAAAAAAAAAACAACAAAAAACCCAAACCCAAGACTGATAGGTTTAATATGCAGAAATAAGCATGAGTTAATCCAGCGATTTTTCACTCTAAAGCCAGCTCCCCCAGAAGCATTTTACAAGAATAAGTACCATCATTTTTCAAATAGTAGAGTTGCAAATATTAAGCAATCTGCCAAAGGCTACAAAAGTCAATAAGAGAATCACGAGCAGAGTCCAGTTCCTTGCTGAATTCATTAAACTGCTAATCAAAGTCTGTTAAGAAGTAAGGGCCAGCAACACACATTCCTAATACAAGCACAGAAATAATGTTGATGGAATAAATACAAATAAATGCACACTCTGTGACACCACTGCAGCATGTTAAGCCTCTTAAAAAAGCAGAGAAAAATCTATGCAAATGGGGTCTTCTTATTCTTAAAGATACTGCACAGCTGTCTGTTCCAGTTAAATGCTGAAGTTCAGCCTCTCTATGTGTCTTCTGAACCTCTGAGAATAGACAGTATCAGTCTATTTATTCTTACTATTTATCATCCTTTTCCCAATGACCCTTAAGCATTACTGTACTTGACAGCCAACCTTTCTTTTTTTGACCATCCATTTATACACAAATAGCTAAAAATCTCCAGCTGGATACACCTTTTTATTTTACAGCTGTCACAGAAGAGTTGGTATTGGCCTCACTAGGCCAGTGGACTGTCCCAGTTCAGGGCACATATTCCCAGTGAAATTGACAAAATTTGCTACGAACAGGATGATCTTTTTAGCGTGCGCAGTTGAGTACATCCAAATGATACAGAGTAATGAGAGATTCACAAACATGAAGTCAGACACACTGGAAAGTCCACCCTGAACCAGAAACACTAAGTCACAACCTGAACCAGTGATGGAGCACCTGACAGAAAGGCAGGGCCATCCCAAGGGAGCTCAGGTGTATGTAATGCACCTGAGTGATCGAAAGGGATGAAGTCAGGATCCACCCCTTCCCAGACCTCATTTAAGGGCTGACAGTGGAGGCAAGGAGTATCTTGTTGGAGATTCTTGCCTACCTGAAGTTTTCCAAAGGTAAGCAGCTTCTTTTCTTTATTTCTGTGTCTGTGACTGTCGTACTTGAGCAAAACCTCACTTCCTGTAGCCTGGGATCTTGCTGTCTTGTGTCATTGTTGCACTTTCCATTGCGTTACGCACCCTGACCAGTTTTAACAAGCTAGTTCAGAATAATGAAGGTCATTAAATGGAAAGCTGCATTCCAAGTAATGTATAAAGTATATTTTACCCATAACTTTGTGCAGCTTTTCTTAACAGCTGCTAAAGGAAACAGCAATTAAATTATTTCTCCTCCCTTAGCTTCTCTCTCTTTCCCTCCCCCCCCCCCCCCCCCCATCTCTTTTTTTCTCTGTAGAGAATTAGTCAACTGCTATTTCTTGCCTTAAAATCAAAAGGCCAGCGTCTTGCAGTAAATTCTAGAAGGTATTTCTCTCAATAGCTTCATGAGTTAATAGTTTGCATATTCATAATCTAGCATAGACTGCTAAACAAGCATATTTTCCATAGAACAGTGCCTAAGGCATGTGATGGGTCATTTCACTGAATATTTTTCTTAAGCAGTGCAGGAAGGGAGATCTTACTTGAGTTCTAAAATAAGCCCACTGAGAACAGCTTAAAGAACTACTGAACTACCTTGCAAATCAATGTAAAGATATATTCAGCACACAAAATGTCCCAGTCACACCAGACAAGTGTTTCTTATTACAGCATTCAACTTACCTCCTTTACAAGTTCTGTGTTTATACAGAATTTACAATGTTTCAGGTACAAAACATAAGCTAAGTTCTCATCTCACAAAAATAAACAATTCAGGAACATATTCTGCCATGAAAATCAGTCATTCTATGAAGTTACTTTCTATTAGAATAACAAACTAAAACTCTTCCATCAGTAGAAAGGACAGCAAAAACACTTCACTGCAGTACAGTAAAGTAGGCAACTAAGGAAAGCTTCTTTTTCCTTCTTTTTAATCACTGTTTGCAACAGCCAGCTTAGGCTAATTATGTGCATCACACATGAAGCATTCCTATCCTGAGCTTGTATTTCTTACATTACCAGATACAGATTTTTCATCTCCAGGAAAAATTGCTTGTTGGGACTTGCCAATTATGACATTACATTTCTTAACCATTTTTGCCTGTACAAGATAAAAGAAGCTTTCATGAC